TTATTGTCATAAAAATATTTTAAATATACCGAGAATGAAAAAAGACTAATATTAAAATTATTAAATTAGTTTCAATTAGAAAAAGAGGCTGAGTTATCTTTATTTCAGTTTCTGTCGTTCGCGAATCAGATTGTGAATTCCGGAATAATATCGAGGAAATATCTTAAACTAATACCTTTATGGATATTTATATGTATTAAAACGGTTCTTCTTAGAACCACGACTTTTCTTGAAATGTAGGATATAATTGATACCAGCCACATATCTAGTGTAATCATTGATTTTCAAGAATCAGATTCTGAATGGGATTATAGATTGTTTGAAATATAATATTCATTTTTGTTATTCATAAAAAAGAAGGTAAACTTACATTCGGTATCTTGTTTTTTAACTAAACTCCATTAACACGATTTCATCTGGATATCGGAACTGGTAGATTAACTCAAAAATCAACTGCTTCACTATTTAAACTATTTATATTGTTTTTTTTTAACTAAACTTTATAACCTTCTTTTATTTGCACACCAAATCTGGTAGAATAACTCAAAAATCAACTGCTTCACTATTTAAACCATTTCCACTATTTAATGACAACTCTTCACAAAATTAAACTATTGGCTGCCACACAAACTTATCAGAAAATTCCTTGTTCAAATATGACTGATTTAAATCGATATTATTTTATCACAGGAATGTTTACTTTGATGCCTTGCAATTGTCAGTAAATTTTTTTACCTTGCAGTCAACTCTTAAAAGATTCTAGGAGGAAGCGTTATTTTAAATAAACAAACCTTCCAATTCCCTAGTGTTTGCAATAAATAAGAATAAATCCATAAACAAATCTTAGCTAATTAAGCACTTTCCATGGAATGTATAAAATAGAACAGAATAGAATAGAATTATGACAAACTGCTATGCATTTAAAAAAAAAAAATAACCTTTTCACGTTTAGCCGATTACGATCCTGCAACTGTCAGATTTAACTAAAATGTCATGCAATAATTCTCGACATTCTTAAAATCCTATATGACGTCAAAATTAGTGACGCACTGAAAAAGGGTTTGGGACAGACTGTAACCAGAGCAAGAAACTCGAAACCATAAAAGTAACTGACGCATTGGAAGCTGCAAATTAAGAAAAGAAAACAACAAAAATAGTTCCATATTCAAGAGAACTGAATTTAAAATATAAGAAACAAAATATAAATATGAAAAAATTATGTGAAAGGTATCAAACAAAGCAAAATTATTAAGGGAAAGTAAGTGATGGTTTCGACCGTTACTTGATGGAAACTCATTTTATCTATAAATAAAACACTGAAAACTTTTGTTTTCAACACTTCCACAAAATTTATTTCAAATTATCACTACAGCTGTTCAAGTGATCTATTTTTGGTATGTGTTTATGATCTATTTTTGTCACATTACACGCTGGTGTGACTATAGTCGCACCAGCTTTTAGAACAGGGCACCCAAAAACTTGGGCAAACATATTAAGAACAAGAGCCAAAGAAAAAGCAAGTACAGAGCGGTGTATACAAATTTAAAATGTGGCAACTGCCCAAAAACTTACATCGGTCAAACTGGTAGAACTTTTAACAAACGTATAGTAGAACATAAAATGACTTCAATTATAGAAAAACAGACTCTACGTAGACACTTTACCTTTTACACCTAACCATAATCATTCTTTTAATGATGAATTTCAAATTCTTTACATTCAAAATAAAGGCACTCTTGCCGATACAACTGTAGTGATAATAATTCAAAATAAATTTGGTGGAAGTGTTTAAAATAAAAGTTTTCAGTGTTTTATTGTTAGATTAAGTGAAAGGATTATTTGTAATAGGGAATATAGAACGTATGCAAAAAAACTGATTCAAACCTAGCTAGAACGACAAGTTTACCGAACTGAGGGCAAAAACTAACCTACAAAAAATAATTAGCAAAAACAACACGTGAGAAATATTGATGAACACTTAAAAAACTTATATTTCACACAAAAGCCTTAGTTTCTAAATGCTATAGTGGTTTTCATTGCCTGAGCAATTATTCGTATGACGTGACAGGTGAAACAGCTAAAAAATTAAGTTTGACAACAGAGCAACTGACGTACGTGTCGCTTAACAGCTACAAAACGTATTCGTCATCTGGATCGACAAAACAAAATCCAAATTTCAGAAATGAGACCAGGAAAGGAAGTCACGAATTGGCTTAAAATATAAAAAGGCAATAACCTAAAAAACTCGTGAAAAGGGCGACACAAGTTTCAAACTTAAGAAAAGGATAAAAAGACACTTAAAAAATATTATTATTATATAACAAATAAGGGCAGAAGAGCGAGCTCCTATTATGCCCAAAAGCAAAAATAAAATATATCCTTATAAAACTAATACTAATTATAAAGTTAGGTACAGTTAAACAATTAACAAAAATTGAATTGTGACACAATAATTAAATAAATAATGCTGTCCGAGAAAAAATATCCTATCCTATAAAAAAAATAAAGCGCTATCAAGTTTATTTTTAAAGATGTTAACACTAGCTGCCGATATGATGTCTTGATCCAAATTGTTCCAGATATTAAAAATTCTGTTTGGCAAGAAGTTCACCCTGGACCTTGCACTAGTTTGTTCCCTCTTTAATTTGTATCGATGGCTTCTTAATCTTTCGTCTTGATTCAAAGTGAATATGGTGTTTAGGTTCCCAAAATTATGTTTTAAAATACGAAGACGTCGCTGCTCGAATGTCGTAAGATGAGCCATGAATAGTCTATCTTCATAGTTAGGTCTTACACGGCCGTATGCCAGTCTTGTGGCTTTACGCTGAACGTTTTCAAGTAGGATTTTATCGCGACTGAGATCTGGATTCCACACTGGTCCGGCAAACTCAAGAATAGGTCTAACCTATATTGACTAAAGTTTACTAACAGAGGTTAGAGAAATGCGTGCAAAACATTTACGGATCAAAACAGTTTCGAGTTAGCACGTTTACACACCGACACTATGTGATCAGAACAATTTAAGTCACTATTAATTATCACTCCGAGATCGTTGTGTGAGGTTACAGAGTTTAAAGGATGTCCATTAATAAAGTACGGCAGTGATGGGTTATTTTTGCCGATATGTAAAACAACGCATTTTTCAATGTTAAGCGGAAGTAACCATTCTAAGGACCATTTGAATATTGCGTCAAGATCTTGTTGAAGAATATGTTGGTTAATAGTTGGATTCACATATAACTTCGTGTCATCAGCGTAAATGGAAACCTTACTGGATACAATGAGCGGAAGATCACTAGTGAAGACACAAAAAAGTAGCGGTCCAAGTACTGATCCTTGTGGAACTCCACTCTTGACTGGCTTATCTAGTGAGTGGTCTTCCCCAACACGAACCCTGAAGTATCAGTCGGATAGAAAATCTTGTATCCAAATGTTTAACTTTCCGAGGATACCATAGTGATCCAATTTAGCTAGTAATCGACGTTTTGGAACACGATCGAAAGCTTTGGAGAAGTCTAAGTAAACTACATCGACAGGATTCCGATTGTTTAAAGATAACGACCAATCATTTACACAATGAAGTAAGTTTGTGATCGTTGAACGACCTTTGATAAATCCATGCTGTTGGTGAGGGATGACATTTTCTTGAAGAAGGAACTCGGACATAGCTTCCGAAATAATCGATTCCATGACCTTGCCGACAATAGGAACCAGGCTGATTGGACGATAATTATTGCAATCAAGTTTATTACCTTTCTTGAATACATGAGTAACTGAAGCCAATTTCCAGGACGAGGGGAGGGAACCTTGATTAAAAGAAGCAGTCATTATGAGAGATATAGGGATGGCTACAGAATCTGCACATTGTTTAAGGAAAAAAGAGGTAAGTCCGTCTAATCCAGGTGATGAATTATTTCGCAGTTTCCTTAAATGATGTTTAATTTCATCCGGTGTGAAAGATATATTGTCAAGAGTTTTAGACAAACGAGGGCACATTATTTGAGGAATGGTATCGTTAGATTCATCGGTAAAAACTTGAGAAAAGAATAACGATAAACATTCCGAAGATCCGTACAAGTTGAGAAAGTTCACAAAATGACATATTTAGGAACTGTGATAACGGACCAAGTAGATCCAGACATAGAAATAAAACGTAGAATAGCAATGACTAAAACTACTTTTATGAAAATGATGTCATTTCTTTGCAATAACCATCTCAGTTTAGAACTAAGGCAAAGAATGGTTAAGTGCTATATTTGGTCCGTACTTTTGTATAGTGCAGAAGTGTGGACGCTAAAAGTATCGATCATGAACAAAATTGAAGCATTGGAAATGTGAGTTCATAGACGAATGCTGAAGATACCTTGGACAGCAAGGAAAACTAATGAAGAAGTACCAAGGAGCGTCAACAAAAGATATCTGCTGAAGATTGTTAAACATCGAAAAATGTCTTATCTGGGACATATAGTAAGGGGAAGTCGATATAAAATATTACAACTCATCCTTAAAGGCAAATTAGAGGGCCGTAGAGGTGTAGGAAGAAAACAAGTTTCTTGGTTAAAAAACATTCGTGAATGGACTCAGATACCAAATGCAGGACAATTATTCCACATTGCAGAAGATCGAGAAGCCTTCGCAATGGTGATCTCGAACGTCGGATAAATCTGATATGGCACGCGAAGAAGAACGTTTCAAGCAAAACGTGACAAAAAAACTTAAATTTGACAGCAGAGCCTTGGTTTCCAAATACTGTATTTGAAATTGAACAAGTGATACGTAATAAATGGTGTTACCAATTAAAAAATTGATGTTTAAGGTTAAGAGACTTTTCAAAGACTATATGAGACCTCTACTTGCAAAGCAACAATCTCCACTTTTTTGACAATCTGACCTGAATATATCAAGTTTGACAATTGAAAGGCAATGGAGTTTAACAGCTAAAAAATTGGTATTCGGCTCCGCAGCCCAAAGGAAATATGAAATAAAACACACAATTTTCACTTAATTGTAAAATTAATTATATTTAACTTGTATTATTTTAAAACAAATTTAAGACCAAAGTCCTAGCTACAATTGGATAATAAATCTAAGTTGATAGTTATCAAATAGAAAATAAGCTATATTATATGAATAATAGTCCCTAGAACCATAAATGCTTTCATCGGAGTTCTTTGACAATTCAATTAAATCTACTTTCCTCAGGATTGAAAATAGGCACGGTACAAGATGGTGGCGAGCACTCCCAAAGCGATTGGGATCAACCAGGATTTGAAGGAACTGAAACAAAAAATATTTTATATTATCAATATAGCACTAGACACAAAATTACACAAAAATAATTTATATAAAGTTAGTGTATAGGCATAAGGTGTAAAGTTATCGGCATGGCAGTAACAATTAATTTATTATACATATAACTAATGATATATGGGGGGCAGTAAGAACCCGCTCTTGTGTTTTTTAAAGTTCAAATTTCAAGTAACTATTGTTTGGATCTTGATTTCTCGTCCAATGCCTCATTTTGATGGATTGCACACCATGTATTAACGTTATTATAGATATTAAGGTTACTAAATTAGTAGACCTCTGATCTATTACCCCTACCGTCCAAAGTCCTTTGAATTTAGATCAGATAGATAAGATTCACACTTGGTCTAACAAATGGCATAATAAAGTTGAATGAAAAAATCCGTCCATGTTGACTTACTAATAAAAACGTATACAATGCGTCAATTTTAAAACTTACAATGTACAATATATCACGAACAAAAGCTGATATCGAAAAATCGTTGAAACCATTTCTAGGATACTACGTGTGCGCCACAGCCACCTTTACTTCCAAGCCATGAAGTAGAAATTTGGCAACAACGCGTGGTAGTCCGACCGTGGTTTATTTTGTTTAACATTTCATATAGGAAGGCTTGTAAAGTTTGTTGAATTTAGTGTTTTTTAAACTTTATTCGAATGTTTTATTTGTAAATTGTGTTTAAATCAATTAGAAAATATTAATATAAGTGAAATTTCATTAAATTTAGAACTTTTAGAAGATTCTTAACGACAATTTAAAAGGCAAGTATAAATATAACCTACAAAGCAAACTGAAAATAATAATACTTTTGCTTCTTGTTACAAAATATGTAAACTAAAAACAACAATAATAATACTTTTGTTTTTCGTTACAGATGCTCTGGCATTGTTGTATACCTGGTTGCAAAACCAATTATGCCAGTACTTTCAAAACGAAACAGGCAGAAAGTACGTTTTCGTTTCCCAAAGGTCCCCAAAGAAGGTATACTGGGTTATGCTCTATTCATAGAGAAGGCTATACAATTACCAAATCTTCCGTAGTATGCGTCAAACATTTTCATGAAGATGATATTCAGCGGACTGAACAATGAGAAGATAAAGATGGAAATGTACACATTGAAAAGTTAATATTTCCCAAATTAAAAGGCAATGCAGTTCCTAATATATTTCCTGAAGTACCATCATATGTAACTGTTCATCGTACTAAATAAAGAAGAAATCCCGAAGACAGAAGAAACTTTTTGCATAAGAAGAGGGAACAAGAGATAACATAATTATGACAATTAGACTTAGACAATAATATCCATTGAAAAACTGGACAAGTAAAATTACAAGTGACTGTGTATATTTCTATGTATTAAACATTAATCAGTTGGGACACAAGTGTGATAATATCTGTGTAATATTCGCTCCGTGCGTGACCATGGTAGGGGTACATTGAAACGATGCCAGCGTGCGTAGCGGCGAAATATGACAAAATTGGAATATTGGACAAAATATTTTTACGCATAAGTTTTATCAAAAATGTGTGCAAATACATGTTGCGTATTTAATTCTGCTAATAATAGCAAAAACAGTGAGTGTAGTTTTTATAGGTTCCCAAAGATTACATATAAATTAGAGAAAAGAAAAAGATGAATTCGTGCTATTAATATGAAAAAGTAAATATCACATAATTTCATTTTTATGCAATTGAAATAGGAACAATTTAAATAATTTACCTTGAATGATATTTCATAAGGCTAACTGCAGATGACTTTAGCTTTTATATCATAACTTTTACTATTATTGTTTTTAATTATATGCTTTTTTGCGTGAAAAACTTGATTTACCAGTACTAGATTTTTTGCTTTCTTTTCCGTTGAAAAGAGTTGAGTTCCGTTGAAAAGAGTTGAAAAGATATATTATGATGAATTTTGAGAAACTCAGTTTTTAATACTACATTTATTTTGTACATAAACTGAAAAAATATAGTTAAAAAACTAATTTATTAATAATTGTCAATTTCGCATGTATTTAACAATGTCAAACATATGTCATATATTTAACCTGAAAATTGGGACTCCAAAATTGTCAGATGAAGGCGGTAGGTGTCGCATCAGTCACACACGGAGCGAATATAGTGTAATAGTTAGCAGTAATTTTAGTGTAATCGCCAATGTAGGTAAGAATAGATTAAGTATTAATGATTTGAAATGGATTTTACAATATAGTAAATTAACAAGATGGTCACAATTAGAGAACTTACTTTCTCATTTAGATCTGCTTTTTAGATAAGTGATAACAAATTTGAGTATTACATTCAAAAATCTTTTGAGAATATAGGCTATTTTAAATCGATATACAAGTTATAAATGGTATGTTACATTCAACACATTTTTCATGTATACCTCTCTTAACTTGATCCATATGACAAAAAACATATTCATATTTAAAATTGCTACTTTCGTATACATAAGTATGAAAATTCAACAAAAGTTATAAGTAAATAGTAAAATATTTAATTTTCAATTAGATTAATTTAGAACCATATTTCTATTGTGTCTGATTTCTTAGGATGAATTTTTTAATCATAATAGTTACACTGAGTTTTTACTTAGCACAAATTTTATATCTTTTGTATTTTTAATAATCTTTTTAAATGTCGTGTTAATGTATTGTGTTATTTATATGCTTAAGTACTTAATATTTAAAATTTCTAGAGATTCTTGACTGCATTTGATTGTAAGATTAACTGTTTGACACTGTATTTTAAGTGCAATAAATTTTACTCTAGTGGTTATTTTATTGATAATATAACCTAAATAATAATAAAACTTTATATATATTTATTAGGTAAATATAAGGTTTTATTAATTTAATTTCCCTAAAAATATTTCTGTAATGAATTGAAGTTTTCAAAATATCAGTTTCCTAAAATTCAAATTAGTTTAATTTTCTGTTAGACCTTACAGCTGATTATCGGACTACCGACGTCATAGAATGCGGTGTTGCCTTTTTTACTTCATGGCTTGGAAGTAAAGGTGGCTGTGTGTGCGCTCAAAACAAGGCGCCGACCATAGAATGGTATCATAGTATCATTACGGTATGTATAATGGTATCAAGCTTCGCTACGACCATCGTATCAATCGCCAGGTAAAATAAATGCATTATTTTAAATGCGAGCGTTCACTTCACTGTCAGCGCTATGAACTAGGCGAGGATACCATGCGATGGTCTCCGTAATGAAACCTTAGGGGGAACTAAAATGACATGAAAGAAAACTCGCCCCCATTAACTCCCTAGACCCCACCTACCACAACCGAAAAAATTTAAACGTTTAAAGGCGCCCACTCACTCAGAAGGAAGCGCGAAGGATTGAATCAATTGAATGTGCATGGTACGGGGTACAGTTAAAAGTGTGTATGTATGGCGAAAAATGTGGAATGCGCAACCAAGCCTACCAAAATCAGGATCGTCTTAATTTTTAGCGTGTGCAATTATCATCGCGCGGGGAAGAACGAGAGTGTATGGGCAACAAGTCTCTGCATGTTTCATTTTTAATCAGTGCTGTACGACTGTTCTTTGAATGTTGCATATTATTAAGCATTTTATAATTTTATGAGAAAAACACTATTAACTAAAAACTAAAAACCATGAGTGATATAAGGTGTATGTCGAGAGAGTTTATTACGGGATTCATAGAGCTATACAGAAGTTATCCCTGTTTATGGCAAATTAAAAATAAAGCATACAATGATCGTCAGAAAAAAAATAAAGCCTACGAAGAACTAATTAAGAAAATGATGCATCAAAAGAAAGTATAGTGAGAAAAATCAATACAATGCGAGGAAGCTTTCGCAAAGAATGGAAAAATGTAAATAAAAAAATATCCGGTTTGGGGTCGGAAGAGGTATATGTACCTAAATGACTTAATAGAAATGGTGAGTTTGACTTGACAGGAAAGAATATAGCCTGCAAATTGAGAAGATTCCCTACCAACACAAGGATTTTTCCGGAAAAGTTGTTTAATGATATACTTTATAATGCAGAACTAGGAAGGGTTAATGAAAATTCTATTCTTTCGGTAAATATGCCACCTGTGTCTGCATTACCTCAATGTGAAAGTCAACAACAAGTCAATATTTAGACATCGAGTTCAATGGGTCAACAATCCAATTCCGTTGCTACATATTATAAGAATTTTTCTAATAATACTGATTTCTGCAATTTGTAAAAGATATATTTTTTTGAAATATTAATATTTTTAGTGTGATCTGTACCGATTCTAGTTTCAGTTTTTGTGTTTTCAGTTCTTTGTCTTTATTTAAAGTCTCAATAAAAACGAATTTTATGTAGGTAAGATTATTTTTTCTAAAGAAAAAAAAATGTACATTGCAAATCAACTTAACTTCATTACTTCCTTTTGTAATAAACGACATATTGCTACACATATTTCCGGAATAATTCGACTTAATGACTGAGCTGAAATTATTGTTGAACATTTTAAATCCTCATAGCTGCTTCCCGTTGCCAAAAATCTTATTGTTGCAGTTAGCCTTTCATGTGCCGTTATAGCCTGCCGCATTCGCGTGTCCTGTTTTTGTATCAAAAGAGTTACTAAAGATAATAGTTCAAAATACGTATATTGATCCATTATCAAGTAATTATGCCAATCTGATGAATCCAGTCGCAATTCTTCCAGTAAACTGACATGAGAGTACGTAGCTCGTTTTTGTAACAAAGCCTTTGTCCATTGCGACGTTGGTTTTGTTTTAATACGACACCTTTCTTTAATACAAACACACGCCACTGCCATTAATAAAAGATTGTTTTTTGACGTCATGTTCACTTTAACCGTACTTCTAAACTGAAAGCAAAAGTACTGGTGTATGCCGACGTGGAGCGTACGGGTTTACCTTACAGTAAACATGCAGAGACTTAATTGCGCATTCTTCCTTCTTGGTGAGTGGGCGCCTTTAAAGTTGCAAACCCCTACTTATGATACATCATTGAAAAGACTATAAAAATTATACAGGGTGAAGCAATGATTGCGAAACTGGCTTAAATGGAAAATTTAATGACGTAGCTTAGCTTTTAAAAACAAAGTGAAGTTATTGTTTATTTCAATTTGAACATTTAAAATAATGAAAAAAAAAAACTGACGTAATGCCGACATGAAATTTGTTGTATTTTATAAAACACTTTGAAAATTTAAAAGAAAATATTGACAAACTAATAAGTAGAAATCTACCTGAGTTGCATCAAGTAAGTACAAGGTTATTGATATATTTTCTATTTTAATGTCATTTTTAAACAACTAGCGAATAAAAACTCAAATCGAATACCAATAAAACCCTAAAAATAATTTCAGAAATGAATTTAGATTATTTTCACTACCCATACAAGATGAACATTCTAAGAAAATGTCGAAGAGAAAACGAAGAGGAAAATAATGAAGAAGTTTGCACCTAGGGGACGAGTGACTCACGAAACGGTCTTGTATCATGTGAATAAACTTCTAGAATACCTAGAGGATCAGAACCGCGCACTACTAGCTGAAAAAGAAAAGTTATAGATAAAGATAAACAAACTTACTTCTGCGACGATGAACTCTCGTTGTTACTCGATACTCCCCAGTCGACATTTTTGGCTTTAACGGCAGTACGTTCTGATTCGATGACCTCGCCGACTTTGTATTTGACCATCAGCTCTCTGGCGTCACTGGAGTGACCGACGTCTTCGAATGCCTCGCTAGCTTCTTTACCAGCCTGTTCTAGCAGAACTTCTTCACCACCTGGGTGCTGCAAACAAAATTATATCATGCTAGTGAAGTCTGTTTAAAACACAAATAATGTGCAACAAAAAAAGGTTATTTATCTATATTCGCTCCGTCCGTGACTGATGCGACAACTACCGCCTTCATCTGACAATTTTGGAGTCCCAATTTTCAGGTTAAATATATGACATATGTTTGACATTGTTAAATACATGCGAAATTGACAATTATTAATAAATTAGTTTTTTAACTATATTTTTTCAGTTTATGTACAAAATTAAATGTAGTATTAAAAACTGACTTTCTCAAAATTCATCATAATATATCTTTTCAACTCCAAACGGAAAAGAAAGGGAAAAATCTAGTACTGGCAAATCAAGTTTTTCACTCAAAAGAGCATATAATTAAAAACAATAATAGTAAAAGTTATGATATAAAAGCTAAAGTCATCTGCAGTTAGATTGAAGCCTTTTTGAATTGAATGAAATATCATTCAAGGTAAATTATTTAAATTTTTCCTATTTCAATTGCATAAAAATGAAATTATGTGATATTTACTTTTTCATATTAATAGCACGAATTCATCTTTTTCTTTTCCCTAATTTATATGTAATCTTTGGGAACCTATAAAAACTACACTCACTGTTTTTGCTATTATTAGCAGAATTAAATACGCAACATGTATTTGCACACACTTTTGATAAAACTTATGCGTAAAAATATTTTGCCCAATATTCCAATTTTGTCATATTTCGCCGCTACGCACGCTGGCATCGTTTCAATGTACCCCTACCATGGTCACGCACGGAGCGAATAAAAGGCTATGATGACAAGCCCCACCGTTTTTTCAGTAAGATAACCACGCCATCTAGGAAAGAAATCTGAACTACCACTATTTGACATTTCATATTTTGTTATTAAAACGATACATTCAATTAATAATACTGTATTAATTACATATTAATATAATTAATAATTAATTTTATTAATATATATATATATAAGGTAGAATTTGTAGAATTTTAAATCACCTTGTATGTATTAAAAAACCAAAGAATATTTTCAATGTATTTCTGTTTTCTATCGTATATGCTAAAACAACGAAGAAGTTATTTCAATCCTTTGGCACCGCTGGAATTGATAATAAACACATTTTAAAGTTTTTTTATATGTCAATATAAGGTTGAATGTTCGAATAAATGAACTTTGATGGTACACAAGGCAAATATCGAACACAGTATTTAATTAAATCTTGCCCAAGTACTTTCGATCACAAGATCATCCTCAGGGGCATCTGAAATAAGCCAAGAAACGTTTTTTTTTTTAAAAAGAAATTTTAATTCACTTGGATAAAAAACTCCAAGTTTATAGTTGAAAAAGTTTTTTATGTGATTAACGTTTATAGACTTACTTCGTCAATTGTGGCCTATCCAGCAATAACCGAATGTCATACATGTAAACTGGGACATAACAAATACACTAAAGACAAACAAACACTTTAAAATTTAAATTGGAGAAGCTACATTTTTTATATTATAGAAGCCGGAGACAGAATGGCTCCCAGCCTGGCGGAGGCGGAAATATTGGGGTGACATGTGACAAATGACAGCTTGTGAAGGGCAGTTACAATAGATAAGTGATCTGCGCCTTTCAAGATTCTATGAAACTAGGTATTGACCAAAGGTCCAACTGACACCACTATAGGAAATCAACTGAAGAAATATAAAATTATATCTAATATTTTTATGTAGATTGAATAATCCAGATCTCACACTCAAACCTGTTTATAATAATTAGGATGTTAGTTTGAGAGAAATTGAAGTTGACATAAAGTATGAATGTAAGAAATAGACTAAACAATATATTAGACAGTGGATAGTTGACTACAATAAAATGGTCTACTAAGCGCTATCAGTACTGTAAAAAGAAAAAGAAAGTCTGAATATTCAATTGAATTGCTAAAAATTAAAATCAAAATTAAAAGCAAAATATATAAATGGGTTGTAATCCAAGTAGTTCAGTTGAATCCACAGTCAATGGAAGAACTTTCAAATTAATATGTAAATACTCAGTGCATGAAGTCCAAACAGTCGAGCTGGGCCCTCTACGAGGTGGAGCTGTAATAAATATATTTAAAAACTTTATTACAGCTTTATTACAGTTTACGCTTAATATTGCGCGTCAAATAAAAATCCACTTAGATCGCTGAGAAGGTATTGCTGGGAAGAGAATTACATCACTCTCAGTGAGGTCTCTGTCAAAGACAGTTGGTTTCGGCGTTAGTCCGAATTTTTCTTCTAATTGTAATGTTTTTTTTTGTTTTTCGTCTTTTGTCATGAAAAATGTGCAGTATAGGAGCAGTGTGGAGTTTTAAGTGCAGTTAATGAGGTTTGGAAGAGTTTTTGAACAGAGAACACGTGGTGTGGGTCATCTGAAGAAACCGTCAAATTTCTTGGTAGAAAAGTGAATTATACTCGAATGTAATGTGTCAATTTTTGCGAGAGTAATCATTGTTTTCTTTTCATGCCGTCTCTCACCTAAGGGTTTGAAGAACGGCGTTTCAAACAACTTTAAAAGTTATCTACATGGTTCCAGATAAAGATTTGAGTGTTCTAAAACCCGAGTTTTGAAGATTGCGTCCTAGTGCCCAGCTTCAACCATCATTTTGTTTGTCCCAAGTCATTCCAGACTATTTTCGCAGTATGAGATGCATTTGTTTGTGTTGCAGTGAATTTGTGTCCAATTCCAACCCCAGAACTTTTAAAGAAACAATTAACATTAAGTGAAAACCAGGTACCATTCTTTGATAAATTTTTTAAAAGTAGAAATAGACATTTTTCATCGATAACTGCTTTCATGGCAAGTTGAGAAATTGTAATAAGTGAAATCATAAATATTAGGTAGTGGCTCGCTGGCATATTAATTATTCTCAAAGTTTTAAAATTTAGTATTGACATATGACAGTTAGCATTGTTTTCTTGACATTTGGTACATACCTAGTCATAAATTTAAAATTCATTTTGTTTTTTTTTAAGGTTAACCTCTATGTATAGTTTCATTTAAAAAGTAATTTTTCATTTGTAATAATTTGTTTCTGCTACAAAATATCGCCCATTGACAATTTGTAAGTTCTTCTATTAACTATATTGTTATTATGTAAACCGATAGCAACATAGTAGGTTTGTTTGTTTCAGTTAATGTGAACTCATCTTCTTGCAGTTTATCATCAGATTCTTTATTGTATAAATTGGTTGTATTTATAGTTTTAACCGTGATTAATGACGGTGTAAAATTGACACAACCATTTTGAAGATGAACTGATTGCGATGAACGAATAATGTCTTATAAAGTGTCTGTTACCAAATGGTTTCTCAGTTACCAAGAGGTTCAAACTTACATTTGAAGTTCAAAGTCACTCAAATTAGCAAGTAGATTAATTCCTAGATACATGTTGTTAATGTTGATACATTTTGTAATATCTTAAGGATCAATTGTTTCAACATTAGTTTGTCTCACATATTGTGGGTCCACGTAAGTAGGCAATAGATTTTTATACATTGTTGTGAATATTTTGTTGTGCAAATTTGTGATACTTTATCGCTTTGAGAAAAATTATTTAATTCCACAAATTTTGGTAAAACCCATTCCAAAAATAGGTAAAAATGCTCCCACTCCAATTCATCCATTTAATATTTTGTAATACTAAACTATAAATTTTTTTAGCAGATTTACTAAACGTGAGACGTTTACTTGACGTGAGAAGACGTGAAAGTAAGGCCAATAATTCGAATAGAATTAAAGCAAGTCACAGTGTGACGACAAATATCTACTAAATTTAAAGTTAAACAATAAAGAAGAAGTATCTATATTTTTATTTATTTTGTTATAAAAATTTAGTATTATTCTACTCTGTGTTGGATTTTCTTAAGTCACGTGTAACTTTTTCCTTCGATGATCAATTTTCCATATATACCTTTAAATGTTACGGCACTATAATAGAATTTACAGGAAATACGTTCAATTCAAAGCGACCAAGTTTTTTTAAGCAATGATTGGATGGTCAGTGTCGTCGTTACTATGAAACCCAAGGTCGACGACAAAGGCCAAACATATTTATATATGATGCGTGAGGCACCATCAATTTGTTGCAATGTGATCTAACCTAACGGCACCGTGAACGCCCCAGGACAATTATGTTGATCTCCCTACCTCTCTGCTTGTAATGAAACGCGTTTTTGATTGAGATTTTCGACGAGATTTCCGCTATTATGTAATAAAATTATGAAACCTTTTTTTATTTATACGCTTAGTAAAGAATTGTATTAATTTTTAACCTTTGGATTTCATGAGGTCAACGTTAGACCCGTTCTTATCTTTACAATGCAGTAAACAATGCTTCGGAAATGTATGTTGTAAATGCGGCATTAAAAAAGCCTTTTTTTGGTTAAAAAAATGATAAGATTATTAGATATACAGTCTGTCCCAAACCCTTCTTTCAGTGCGTCACTAATTTTGACGTCGTATAGGATTTTAAGAATGTCGAGAATTATTGCATGACATTTTAGTTAAATCTGACAGTTGCAGAATCGTAATCGGCTAAATGTGAAATGGTTATTTTTTTTTAAATTTGGAGTAAAAACTTAACAATTCAAAATTTTATTTAATTTACATATTAGAGGTCCCGTCATATATAAAATTTTTTATTGGGCATTATATTGGAACGGTCGAGTTTCGAAGTGCCCCCCCCCCGTATCCGATGGGACTCCCTCCTTCGGAGGTGTGGATTACCACCCGGGGATTAATTTTAAAATTTTTCATTTCTGCCAATTGTTCGTTAGCTCTTGGATTTTTTAAGTGTGCTAGGTTGCTAACTGCTAACGCCTAATGCCATAACCCCCTTTTGGAGGACCTATTGTTCAGCCGCCCACTCTGGGTCAGACGCTGTTGGCAGCCGCCCACTCTGGATCAGACGCTACTATTGTCAATTGGTCCGCGTCGGGTATTTCATTTCCCCGATACCACCCA